TTCAAACAGCAGTCGCTTTCTAAAACATCAGATATGTATCGGATTCAGTACCACATACGAAAGTGACCCAGATCGGATTTGAAAATATCGGATTTGTGCTGTTCACACTGTCATACCATGATTGGATATGGATATGGGTCGCATAGGGTCAAAAAAGTCGGATTTGATGCGCTTTCGCCTGCAGTGTGAACGTAGCCTAAACCTACAGGAGCTGCTCAGCCATGAAAACCCGGGCCATGACGCTCCCAGCACACAGTTTTTGTGCTGTTGTTAAGGCGGAGGAGGTTAGGAACTCTGCAGTTATTCAGTCAGCAGGGTGTTGGTGACATTTACACACAATGTGCCTCAGCACTCGGCCACACCGCTTTGACTTTACATGGTCTGCCACTTTGTGGCTGCGTTGCTTTTGGTTCCTAAACTCTTTCACTTCATAATAATACATAATCACTACTGTTGATCATGGGATCATGTAAAAGGGACTTTTTGTGTCATCACTGTGGCATCCTTGTAGTACAATGCTTAAATTCAGGGCGATATTTAGGGAAACCCATTGTTTTGTTTGTAAAGGCAGACTGCATCTCTCTTAAGAGAAGTAAGAGGTGTGGCCAAATACAATTGCCCATACACAGTCAAATGAAAATAAGACTGCATGGAGTCCTGTGAAAAACTAAATACACCCCATGATTCAAACTTGTAAAACAACTTTCGGCCCACTCTTCTTTATGACATTGCTTTAATTAACTGAAATGTGTAACCATTTGTTTATGCACAACTCTCTTAACGTACCGCTACAGCATTTAAATCAGGTTGAGGTCTGGACTGGGCCACTGCAACTCCTTGATTCTTTTCTCTTTATAAAAAAAAAATTGCTTGTGTAGTTTTTATCATTTTCCCCTACATGACCCAGATTCAACCAAGATTTAGAGATTGCCTCACGTTTGACTCTAAAATACTCTGGAATGATTTCACATCCAACTTAATGAGTGAAGGTGCAGGCCCTGTGTCGGCAAAACAAGCCCAAATCATCACCCCTCCACCCCCTTGCTTGATGCTTGATTTGAAGTGTTTGTGCATATGCTATGTTTCATTTAAATCAAACATGGTGCTGTGCATTCTGCTCACAGTTCCAGTCATCTTGTGGTTTGTTAAAATGCAAGTTTGCAAATCTTATCTAAATCTAAATCTTTTTAAAGAGAACAAGAAATGCTTGTTTATTCTTTCTCTGATTGTGCTTGTCATTGACTTTAACATTACCATGGTAACTGAGCATGTTGTCTGAGTTGAAGCTCTTGACTTCTTGTATTTTCTCTGGGCTGTCTGACATTGCGATGAATTTGCTAAGATGTCCACTCCTGGGAAGATTGTGGCATTATGTTAACAAAGACCTGAATCCTTCTGGCCAGCAAACATCCAAAACCTCTGCTTTAATAGAGGCGCTCACATTTGCTGATGATTAGTTAATCAAGTGGATTTATTTAGAAGCACCTGGCTGCTACTTACCCTCTTAATACATGTGGAAGGGTGTACTTAGTTTTTCACTGGACTGCAAAGAGTCTTTTCGTATGACTGTAGTGTACATCTCAAACTACATTTGGAGGATGGAGACCTGATCACGCTATATACTTCAAACAGATTCAGTTATTCTGTTCAATTATTCATAACGTCTTGTATCTAGGGATACGTGATAAGCATTGAGTTACCAAAACCATAAAAACACCAACAATTGTTGCTTTTACTAAGTTATTCATATGTGCAGGATACTGACAGGCTGACAAATAACAATTCCTGCAGTGTCTCTGTTTGTAGTGACAAATGATGGATGTACAAGTGTACGACGCTAATACAATGAGATGACAATGTAAACTCAAAGGCTAAAATATATTATAGTTCTGCAGAATTATTGAGAGTGGGTTGTCAGCCTTTCATGCACTGTGTTTAATAGGAAACAACACTCTCGTTGTTTGCCAGACAAAAAAGACAAACGGCTGAAGTTTAGCTTCATTAGTTACAGATCGTTTGCTTTTGGAACTGTTTGTTCTCAGCCTCTACATTCTGGGAAATAAAGTATTATAATGTTTACTTATAATGTTTGTCACACTTAAAAAGTGCAGCGGTGTTAATTGCAAATATTAAATGACTCCATTGGCATTGAAAACTAATGCTGTGAATCGTGTATCATGCAGGCCTTTCTCCAGCAAATGAGAAGCTTTCAGATGCTGACTAATTCTGTAACCTAATAAATGCAATTTTCATCCACAATTTAAAAAACCCAAAACAAAAAGGATGCACATGTTTCTTTGTTTGGTTGTGTTTTCATTTAAAAATGCAGGCGGAGTTGCGCAAATTATATGGTTACTGTCACACACTCTGGCATTGTTTGTGTGCCTAAATAAGTATATTCACCATATTTTTCATAACTACACAAAGAACAGGAAACTTTTTCTCTATAAATTGGGTAAAATGCCAGATAGAGCCAGTAAAGGCCAGATGGGACACAAATTGGAGGAATTACAGTAGGGAATTACATAAGCGGCAGATGACGAGGTAAGCCAAAGCTCATTTTGAGTGGTCAGGTTCAGGTGAGCTGACGCTGCTTTGTACCCACCGTCATAGACGCACTGTTTCAGCGCTGCACTGAAGGTGAGGGGAGGGTCACAAAAGCAGTGAAAGGAGCCGGGCGTGTTCTCACACCTCCCGTTCTTACAGTACGAGGGGTCCTGGCACTCATTCACATCTGCAAAGGGCACCACAGACACTGGTTACAGTAGGAACATCTGCTTGGGGCCGGCTATTAATTCCAAAAGAAAAAAAAAAAACACATTACGATATTCAGAATAATTCAGTCTGGCAACTAGTATTTTTTCCACTTATTTCCTAGAAGATGTGAAAAATACATTTCCTGCAGATTTTGCTTTTTGTTAAGGCTGATGTGAGCTCTTTTTGTAAGGGTAAGGTTTATGTCTTAGTTACCCTGTATGTCATGTTTGCTACCTGTTTACATTTTTATCATAAATACTAAACATGAGGGTTTTTGTGATAAAATTTAGCCATGCACAGTACAACACCTAGAACTCCTCTGATGTATCAGAAAGTTTCAAATAGGAGGCTCGGTTCCAGCTACATTTCAGTCTGCCAATAAATTTAAAGACACTTTAAAAGTAAGAATGTACTGTTATGCACAGTGGCTGAACTAGTTCTTTGATCACCTGCTGTATTTGTAAGTTTGCTCACTTAATAAATGAACAGTGTCTAATTTTGATGGTAGTTTCATTTCAATAGAGAGAGAAGGAATATCAACCAAAAAGCCAGAAAAAACACATTACATAAAAGTTATATACGGATCATTGAGTGAAATAGGTATTTGTTCCTCAAGCAAAACATGACTTAGTTCTTGAACGAGTAGCACTGTTGTCAAGTTTCTTGTAGTTGGTCACCAAGTCTGCACACATCTCAGGAGGGATTTTGGCCTGCTTCACTTTACAGAAACTTTCTGAATCCTTCAGGTTTCTTGGCTGTCACTTAACTTCAAAGCTTCAACTCCCAGCAATGAGTTTCTATAAGATTGACATCTGGAGACTAGCTAGGCCACTCCATGTGCTTCTTCTTTAGCCAATCCTTTGCTGTGTTGGTGGTATGCTTTGGGTCGCTGTTTTGCTGGAAGACCCATCCGTGACCCATCTTCAGTCTTCTGGCTGAGGGAAGGAGGTTCTTGTCCAAGATTTTTATTTATACAGCCTCTCAACATATTAAAATCGTCCTGGATCCTTAACAGAAAAACAGCACAAGGCATAATGTTTCCAACTCCATGCTTGAGTGTGGGAATGCTTCTATCTGGGTCATAATCAGCACTTCTTTTCTATCACTATCTGACCACAGCACTCTCCCAAGGCTTCTCTGAATCATTTAAGCTGTTCACTGGCAAACTTAAGACAGATCTGTTTATGTGGCTTCTTGAGCAGAGGGATCTTTTGGGCACTGCTAGATTTCAGCCCATTAAAGCACACTGTGTTACCAATGGTGTTTTTGGTAACTGTGTTCCCAACTGCCTTCAGATAAATAAGCAGCTCCTCCCGTGTAGTTTTGGGCTGATTCACCACCTTTCTCCTCATCATCCTCACCGTATGAAGCAAGATCTTTTACGGAGCTCCAGACCGAGGCTGACTAATGGTCATTTTAGATTTCTTCCATTTCTGAATAATAACACTAAGAGCTGGCAGCTTCACACCAAGCTTCTTACTGATGGTCTTGTCGTCCGTTCCAGCTTTGTGCAGGTCAAAAATGTCCCTGATGTCCTTTGACAGCTCTTTTGTCTTACCCATGGTGGTGGAGAGGTTTGATTGGAAGAAACTGATTTTGTGGACACGTGTGTTTTATACACATAACGAGTTGAGATCAGGAGTATCTGTAATTGATTGACTGATTGCAATCTGTGTGTACCATAAAAATTAGAGACTGTTCATTTCTTTCTAAGTAAGGAAACTTATAATAATTATTTTCCCCACTGTAGGCCATTTACCTGGATTGGAGTTCTGTTTATTATTACTTTAAATCTCTGTTCTTTTCCTCGAAGCTTGAATTTAACAAAATATGGTGGGACTTCTGTAGACTAGAACCTACATAATAGGGTTTTACCAAATACTTAGATGTCATGCTTAAAATAGAGACCTAATCACAGTGGATTTTCACAGTTTTCAGTTTCATACTCTTGATTTCTATTTTCAGTACAGAAGTACCAAGGATTTTGTGAAAAGCATACAGTTACAAACTATTTTACACAGGCCTTATGCTTTCCAAAATTAACATTTTATGACAAGAGCATATGTCAAAGTAAGTTTATTTTAAACTCATCAGTATCCATCCACCTGTTCCTGAGTAATTTATTTATGTCGTGGTTGTAGTGGTAACAGGCAGACCCAAACCATTTATACTTCGTACTCTCAGGACTCTGGGTCCTGTTATCTAAGAAGCTTTCTCTATTTTTGCAACTCTAGCATGTCAGCCACAAAAAACTGAGGTGGACTTTCCAGGAGCTGCTAGAGCCTTGTTTTGATGACATGATGCAATGGATTGGTCTTGGTAGAGTTCTTTTAATTTTAGGGATTTTATGACCACTGGTGGACTTAAATTGACAATTCATGTGCATGTAGCATTTTACTTTTGTTGCTAACATGAGAGCTGGTCAGCTTTATTGGAGCCAATGTCCCGAACCACAGGTCAGTGCCAAGATTCTTAATATGATCCTGTGTTACCTGAACTCCTCCACTATGAGCTATTGCTTCCCATGTCACCTGTAAGGTGTAATCCTCCATTCTGTGGGACAGAACCGATCTCAAATTTGAGGCAACCATCTATGTCCCAACTGTACCTTATTCAGCAGCAGTGCCTCTATGAACTTCATCTGCACATCTGCAATGGTGCGTCATTGCTGCAACATGAGACGCACTCCAAACCCACTGTTTGGTTGTGTGCATAAATATAGTATAACAGACAAAACAAGGATACACATGGTGTTGAAAGCCCACTTTAAAAGACTGACCACATTTACACAGGAATTCAGGCAGTATGTTCATCGTACTGCCCCCCTAAAGTCATTCTTCACTGCTGAATTTTAATACAACTTTTTTTTACTGCATTTGCTTTGCAATTGTAATTCTAACTGCAAGTCCTCAGCCTTTGGTCATAATGGGGGGAAAAAAGCAATTTTCCTGTATAACACAGATTTTTCCACCACATGATATTAGCAAACTTACACTCCATGGGACAGCTAGGCCTATCTGGTAGCTGATGCAGCTCAGCACTGAGTGATGACCAGATGAAAGCCCAGTTATTTTTTCCATCCACAACATTAACTTCAAGATTTATGAAACAGCTACATGATAAGTCATTCTTTTCGAGCGTTGTGTAACACCAGGAACTCAAAACCTGCTTTTTTCCAGTATAAAAAACAAAGCGACTACTTCAAAAATCTCATCAACATGCAGATTTCTCCTTAACAAATGTAATATTTGTTCAATGTTTGACACTGATGAGCCACAGATCCAAGCAGCAATCACACTGGACATCAAAAGACAACCGCTGACTGGAGTTATCTAGATTAGAGAACATGTAAGCATTATTAAAGCCAAACCTAATACTTGTAGAGGAAAAGGAGGCTATTTTTAACAACTCTGTCTGTTACAGCGCTGGACTGAAACAGTTGTCTACAGTCTAAATATAACATTTTTCCATCACAAGCACAACTTCACAGGTTGTTGTGAAATTCACAACTGATTTATGTGGACAGCACAAGCACAAGGTTTTAATCTTTATATGCTTTAGCTCTGTTGACTTGATAAAACATCACTCTCATTATATCACCATTGCTACAGGTAAAAAAACAAAACACAGTCAGACAACTTACAGTATTGTGCAAAAGTCTTGAGTCTCATAACATTATATATTTTTCTAGAAAAATGGGAAATGGTTGTAGCTAATTATTGAAGCGTGTGTTAACATAACTGTAGAGTTGGACGACCTTTATTCTTCAGCATAGCCTGAACCCTCTTAGAAGAGCTTTCTTGTCATTTCTTCTGTGATACCTCCCTCCTTACCTCCAGCAAACACAGTGATGATGATTTGAATCATAATTTTCAAATTTGGATTTATTATTCAATCAGACTGGCTTCTTGATAGAACTGAGACTGATTCTGATGAGGCTTCACTCAGATGAGCCATATGCATCACTGTGCCAAGTCTTTGCTGGATTTTTCCCCCCCTATTTATTAAAGACGTGAGGTTCAGATAACGTTCATCTGCTATAGATGAGACAGAAAAACTTGTCAAGTTTCTTCAGATATTTTAAGGACATCTTTAAGGATCATCTGGCTGGTGCAAAAATACAGGTTCCTGGTAATAAAGTAAATTTAAAATTGGTTCTGTAAACACAACAGTGGCAGATCCCTCGAGTTGGGTGCCTTTTTATGCTTGATCAGTGTTAAATGGCTTAACAAATAAAAGAAACACTTCTCTGAAAATGGACAGGTGCAAGGACTGGATTGAAAATAAGTGAAAAAGCAGCTGATTAGCCAAGAAAAACTTTGAAAGACCTCCTAAAAGTATGGAAAACTACTGCTCAAGATCACTACGAGAAAGGTCTGACTCCT